GAAGTATCTGGCAAACAGCTGGCGCTACAAACAGCTCAGCTTATGAATATGCTCACATGCTCATGAATCACCCCATTGTTCTCTCAAACTTGCTCTCACTAAAAAATTTTACTCTCTCATAATTGCTTGGCTTGCTTGTAAACTAGTGAGCATGAATATCTTTCACAATTGTTGATCGCTTCCACTTGGTTTGGCTTGCTTCTCTTTATGCAATTGCTTGAGAGATTCATTGTGTACCGCTAGATGAGTTAAGTGGCTCATAATGTATTCATGAACACATACACAAATTCAGCGCCTCTGCAGTTTTGCTTTGCGCGCAAGACCGTTTGCGACGTTGAATACGTGCAGGCATGTGAAAAATTATAGGGGATGACATTTGGACCAGCTTTGACTATTTTTCTTTTGTTTGTTTAGTGTTTATTATTTTTTTTTTGTAATATAGCTCATTTTATCTTACATAGACCATATATGTCGCAATTTTAAACGTTGTAGAAAAATTAAGAAAATTCGATAAAATTTTACTACAAACTTTTTAATAAGAATTTTGAGATAATTCTAGTTTGCAGTTTTATACCCAATTAAATTATTGCTAAGAAAGTAAAAGTCTAATTTGGCTAAGAACTCGCGTTGATTTTTGATAACTTTTTTTGGGGGATGGTGTTATTATTATGGGTGAAGCCGTTAGAAAAAAAAATATGAAAAATCAACGCGAATTATTAACCAATTGAAATTTGCAGTTCCTGAATCTAGAATTTAATAGGCTAAAAATCTACATACTTAGAAATTCCTAATAAAAAGTTTGTTGTTGTAAAAATTTTCCTGCTTTTCTACAAAGTTTGAAATTTGGCTTATCTTATATGGTTTTTGTTAGATAATGGGCTATAATTTTATAAAAAAAAAAATAAAAAATTGAAAAACCAAAAGAAATATAGCCAAAATCGACTATATCGAGCTCTAACCGTATAGATACATACCTCCGGCTAAGACTTCTAGATTGAGAGAAAACTTGCGCTGAATCGTTTAAAATAAAGTCTTCATGAAAAAGTATTTTCTTGTAATTTTCGGTAAAATATATTCTTCCGCAAAAATTTTTTCGCATTTTTACAACTGTTTTTATTAGTAGATTTTTGTTAAAACATTTTTATTTTATAAAAAAAAAAAGAAAAAAAATGTTTTTTTATATCATTGAACTGACATGTGATTTGTTTTAATTAATTATACTTGTTAGCCATTAGAAAAGACTGAAGCCTAGATTTATAAAATATAATAATCTATTACATTAGGGATGCACAGCAGAGGTGCACGCAGTCGACGTCGCGGGCAAACTGCGAGCACGCGAGTGTGCTAGGCGAGGTGAAGTGAGCTGTACGGAAATGGCAACGTATATATATTAACCACTACACACTTATTTTCAAGTAAAAATGCGTGTATGTTTGTGTACTTTTGCGACAACTGAGCCAGCGTGGCATCAGACCACCAGAAAAAGTGTATATACATATCCATTACCTCACTTTTTTATTAATAAATTAATTTCAATACATTTATAACAACGCAAAACATATTTAATTTACCTATTCCTCACGTTTTATTCAGTAAATGAATTCCATCTTAATGTAGAATATTAGTGTATAGTGTATACATACATACATATGTATGTACCTATGCATTCGGTGTGCTTAAATTAAAAAAGCATCACTAAATAACGTACCAAGCATTGAATTCCAATTATTTTAGCTTTTTGGTTTCCTAAAAGCACTAAATTTAGTGTAAAATGCACGACCTTGGCAATAGTGAGCTGAGCACATCAATGCTCAAAAAGTGATGCCAGACCAAGTATTGAGTAAATGCGCTAAGTATATTTTTCTTTTAAAGCAAAAGTTCTAATTGGCGAGGGGATTGATTTTTGGTTCTTACATAGAACACTGATAAGATTCACAAACTTATCTTAGGACTTAATTAAAATATCCAACATTATTTGTAGACGAATATATTTGTGTTCGTATGAAATAGTAGCTTATGTCGGGAGGCTGGCTTTAGTAAAATGTACCATTTCCTATATTCTTTAAACCACAAGGAATTTTTTTATGAGACTATACGAATATTGACTTGATAGCATCGCAACTGCCTCTTTTACGTTTATTTTCCAAGAGTTCTTCAACGACTCGGCGCCAGTGAGTCTTTCGCAATCGTATGCTGCGATTGGTTCATTATACTAAAGCCAGTCTTCCGACATAAGCTACTATTCTATACGAACACAGATATGTATACTTCCTAATAGGCTTGTAAAATGCCCAATTCCCGAATCCCTCGCATGAGTTATTATCGGTAAAAAATTGGGTACGCTCGAATCTGGCATCGCTGCAGCAAGTACTTTGTCACGCCAGTGAAACAGTGTTGATATTTTAAGTACAATTGTACTTTTTTCATTACAATTAATTTTAAAAAGTACAAAATTACAATTTGCCGATTTTAAGTACAATTTCAACATCAAAAATACTTTTTGTACCAAACGCTCAAATCTCTTCTAGCACTTCCATTCTTAATCCGTTTACATTTAAGTAAATGGATATACTATATTTCATATTTGCTACAAAACGAAATTATGAATTGTAATTTTGAATGGAAACGTGATTGTGAACAGTAGTATTAGTGATGTGCGTTATGGTGATTGCGAGATCTTATCACCGGCAGGTGAAATCTCCCTCATCGCTATTTATTTTGAAAAAATCTTTGGAAATGCTATTTACCCAATGGCGATCCAGCAGAAATAGAAGTAATGGAGCAATTAGGGGGTTGAAAGTAAAAAAATGTATGTAAATTCCATGCGTTGAAATTAAAAACTTCCCTTGAGGATTTCCATTTTATCGATAGTGATCTCATTTTATGTTCTTTAATATGAACTGACCTATATAGTGTACTAGCAGACCCGGCGAACTTCGTCCCGCCCAAAATTTTTATATATTTTATTGAAACTTTTTGGTCCAACATTTTCACCAACAATTCACGTTTACGATTTTCATTGGCACATTTGTCTGCTAAGATTAAGGTTTGGTGGTTATTTGCCGCTTTAAATAACCTAAGGAAAGTGTTATATCCGTTCTTGAAATTCTCCAGTTGTGCGGCATTTCATAGCACGGTTATTCGCAAAGCGAAATAAATTTTTTCCTCTTCACTCCCTGGCGGCAACAATGACCCGGTTCTATAGTGAATGTCCTAGAAGCTTTACAGTACAGTAGGTGCCAATTTCAAAATGGGTGCGAATCATTGTTATGTACCTTAAAAGTTTGAACGCATAATAATATTGGAAAATCACATCCATTGGGCCAATTGTAACGCAGGACCGTCGATATACTCAATGGTGCAACAGGTCGATTTAATCTGACCTTCACGGCCCCTTTTCTCACTTGGCTATTTTTAGTAATAGCTCGACTTCAGCACCACTTGGCAGCACGTTTTTGCAATAGTATTGCATACATATTTAAAACATTAGCCAAATCGGGTCATAAATAAGATTTTTAGTAATAACTCAACTACAGCGCCAACTGTCGGATTAAATTGTGAAACTAAACCATCCAGAGACCCACTCAAATACACAAAAAGTTTCGTTAAAATCCGTATAACCATTTAGGAGGATTTCTCTCACAAACACACCTACAGAAGAATAAAAAAATTCATTCAAAGATAGCTAAAGGTCGGTAGGTTTGTAGGCCTCACACCCCTTTTCAAATAGCCCAAATTTTCTCCATGAGTATGGGCTTGAACTCTACCAAAAAATTTCCAGAGATAAGCAGTATGAAAAATTCGGTTTGTATGGGAGATGTCACACCCTTTTTTACAATAGCTAAAATTTGTCTCCAAGGGTATGCGATTGATTTCATATATCTCCATACCAATTTCCAAACCTCTACCATGCACACTTTCAGAGATATGTAGCATGAGAAATTCGGTTTGTATGGGAAGTGCCACGCCCCCTTTACATATAGATTTTTTCAGCCTAAAACCATCCTTGGGACACGTGCGGCAGGTGGCAGTTTCAAAAAAATCGGTTCAGCAGCTCTCGAGCCTTGCGAAAACTAACAAACGGCTTTCTAAATATAAATTAGTTGAGATATATTATATATTTTAATTATATTTTGACAGTATCCGTTCTTTCTGATTGGCGCAAAAAAATCTTGCCTAGTGACGAATTCGCCCCTTGATATGGTCGCTACTTAAAGCTATTTATATTCGAAATTGCATGAAAATTAGAAAACAGGAATCTATAAGCTTATCCAGGCAAAAAGCTACCTATGTACCGAATTTTAAGCAAATCGGACCATAAATACGATTTCTTCGAACAGATCGGTCCCTGGTCCACTTCTCGGACAAAATGGATCATATATGCTAAAAAGTTACCTACGTACCGAGTTTTAAGCAAATCGGACCGTAAAAACGATTTTTTCGAATAGAACGGTCCCTGGTTCACTTCTCGGAAAAAATGGACCATATATCCTAATATATGCTAAAAAACTACTTACGTACCGAATTTTAAGCAAATCGGACCATAAATGCGATTTTTTGGAATAGATCGGTCCCTGGTCCACTTCTCGGAAAAAATTGATCACATATGCTAATACATGCTAAAAAGCTATCTGCGCACCGAATTTTAAGCAAATCGGACCGTAAATTCGATTTTTTCGAATAGATCGGTCCCTGGACCACTTCCCGGAAAAGATGGGTCATATATGCTAATATACGCTAAAAAGCTACTTACGTACTAAATTTGAAGCAAATCGGACTATAATAAGATTTTTTCGAATAGACCGGTTCCTGGTCCACCTACCCGAAAAAAGTAAAATTTTTTTAGCCTAAAACATGGTGGTTACCGAAAGCTATTTGTATACAAAATTTCATGAAAATC